GGGGTTTGGTGGGTTTTTTTGTTTGTTTGTGGTTTTTTGGGGGTTTTTTGGGTTTGTTTTTTTTTGGTTGGTTGATTGGTTGGTTTTGTTTCTACGGCTTGGGCTTAGTTGGTTTCTTACTTGCTGGGGTTTTTTGATTTGTGGTTTTTTAATGACAATGAGGTTGAGGACACTTCTATCAGGTAAAGAAAACACCCATAAACTAATCCCTCTCCCATGAGAAAAAGCAGAATGAGTTACCTCCTTTTGACGTCCAACAAATCTAACTCTTCTATAATCCTTCTCGTCATATACCTAGAGTGTGAAATAAACGTGATCTTATTTACAGAGCAACAGCTATAAACATAGAACACAAATACATAGAAAATAAATAACTTGAACTGTTTACTTAGTTTCAAATATTATCACCTTATAAGCACGTAGCTAGCATACAGAAAAATTACCTTCCATTTCTCTCACACAAGTAACTAAATTGCACATTGGAAAGCACAAAAGACAAGGAAACTGGTGGTGCTGGGGGTGGCATGAAGAACCTGATCACAGAGGTGAACACAAATGTATTATTTATAACGCTGTTCCTTGATCTGACCTAGCTGGTGAACTCAAGAGGGAAATTCAGGTGTTGTAGTTCTTTCTGTTCAGCTAAGTAACCACAGCCCGAGCTTTCCCAGGTTAGCTCCAGCCGCCATCCCCTCCCGCATCTCCTCAAGGTGCCGAGCCTCAGCTGCTCGGCTGGAAGGGAGGTGAGGCGGAGCTGCACGGCGCTGACCCCAGGGTGCCTCCTGCCCCTGGCAGCTCTTCGGCTGGGCCAGCAGCCGGACCCGGACCGGAGCGCTCATGGCCAGTGACCCGACCCCGATCAACAGGGGCGGTTTTGGGTTGGTTTTTTTTTTTACCAAAGAGACAGCGCGTACCTCCTGTGTTCGGATCGTGCAGGAGCATGAATTTCCACTGTGTGCGCTGAACGGAGAGTCACAGAATAAATGAGGTTGGAAAAGACCTCCGAGATAATCCAATCCAACCAGTGACCGAACGCCACCATGTCAAGTAGACCACGGCACTAAGCGCCGCATCCAGCCATTTCCTGAACACCTGCAGCGACGGACACTCCACCGCCTCCCTGGACAGCCTATTCCAGTATCCAGCCACTGTTTTCCTGAGGAAATTCCTCCTGACGTCCGACCTAAGCCTCCCCGTTACAATGCACCACACCG